GCACAGCTGGCACTGCAGGAGGGCTGAGCCCCCCTGGGATGGGGCTGAGCCACCTCCCTGACCCACAGGGGCTCAGGGCATTGCTGACTCTGGCACTGGGCTGTTTTGTACTATTGCATTTGTATTTTTAATTTTCCTAGCAAAGATCTGTTATTCCTGCTCCCACATCTTTTCCTGAGAGCCCCTTCATTTCAAAATTCTAATTATTCAGAGGGAGGGGGTTTACATTTTCCATTTCAGGGGAGGCTCCTGCCTTCCTCAGCAGACACCTGTCTGTTCAAAGCAAGACATCTCCCACCCAACCCAGTGTCCCTGCTGGGGGTGCCCTGGATCCCCTCACCAGGTCACTGCTGAAGGTCAAACATCCTTCTCCAGGAGAATCTTCTGGGAAACAAAAGCTTGACCAAAGTCTAGCTAGACCTGGCACATTCCCCAGCCTTTCCCTCATCCTCCAAGGTGGTCACTTTGTCCACAGAAGATGAGGTTGGCCTTTCCTGAGCCCACTGAATTGGCTGATCCTCTTATCCTAACAAAATCTGCAAACTTTTTGTGAAGCAGAACATTTAAATACATCCTACCAAAAACCTTCTAAGGCAACAGCTCGAAGGAATGATGATTTTGCCACACTCTCTAATAAAATTGCAGCCATTTTCCCAAATTTCTCCTCTCCATTTTTCACCTGAAAATGTTCAACTCTGTGTTCAAGCAGGCAAAAGTTGAGCTGTGGGTTAAACCCCCAAAAGCTGAACCATGTGTAACCCCCAGAGTTACAGAGGGGGGAGTTTCCTGATCCCTGCTCTGATCATGCCCTACAAAAACCTCTGTTCCAACTGGAATTCATTTGCTCAGTGCTGCCATTTCCCAAGGAACCAACCTGCTGCTAGGAGCTTTTTAACAGCTCCGTTCTGATCCCTAAAAACCCAACTTTGGGAACTCATTTAAGCAAAGCAGCTGAAAAAATGGCTCTTGGGTCTTGTTTTTCATTCCAGTGAACAGCCAAAATTTCCTGCTCCTCATTATGAAGGTCTCATTATCCACAGGCTTTTATGGGAGTCTTGTAAAATGGAATGCACTATTTTCCATGATTTATGTCCTTCTGGTGATATCCTTTGAACCTTCAATCCTTCCAGAGAAAAGCACACGAGTTCCTGGTGGCCCAAAGGCATAATTTCAGATTTGAAGGAACATCACCTGCTAATTCCTGGTGCTGAATCCTTGTTCTGACACATCCGTGGAGCTACAAATGGGCAGTTCCTGCAGAAAAGGGTCCTTGGAAGATTATGGGAATTTTCTGCTCTGTATCACTACCAAACCCAGAAGAAAAGCCACTTCAAAATCCTCCTAATCTATACAAGCATCAGAATTAAGTCTCCAAATAAAAAAAATAAGTGGAGTGGAGCCAGTTATGTGATGTTGGGACCACACACAGGAACAACTCATGAAATTACACAGAAAGAGCAATTATGTGTTACTTTCCTGGCTTTCACCACATGGACCTAAAATCTCCTTGATTTTCCCTTTCCTTCCTCAAACACATTCCCAGATCATTCAATTCTAAGAAAAAAATGATAAAGGCAATTTACCCAGGTCATAGGAAAAGAAGAAATCTTTTGAAGATTTATTGAGCACGTTTGGAGCAGAGGCACCTGTGACAACAAACTGGCACAATGGCATTTTTTAGATTCACCTTGAAAATTGGATATTCCAAACAGGTTTGGAAGTCTCCACATGTTGTCACAGAAGCCTCTGGTTCTTGAGGAAAGAGAACCAGGAGCATTTCCTAGACCTGACCTTAGAACCACCACACTGCCTGGCCCCACAAACACTTTCTGCTCCAAAGAACCGTTGAAATAAATTAACAATTCAGCATAAAATATACATATCCCACCCAGAGCAGTATTTATTGTCACCACCAGCTCATCTTCTACTGGATTTCTAAGAAGTATTGTCCCAAATTTCCCAGGAAAAGGCACTCCTGGGTTTGAGAGCACGTTTTAGAGTTCCAGGAAGAACCTGGCAAAGCAAGAACCTTCCTAAATACCCTTCAGAGTACGGAAAGTTCAAGCAGAGAAATATAAATTTATTCCTCTGAACTGGCATGAAGGGAAAGTGTTACTGGTGAACTGCCACAGCTCCAATCCTCAGGTGAGCATTTCCAAAGGATTTGTTTATTTTACGTGCAGCAGGAGCAGCTTTAATTTCCTTATAAAGATTCTACAGCACAAGGTAACATCTCCTCTGGGAAGGGAGTGCAGGAAGGACTCCAAATTTTGGCATCTTTGCTGGGATGGGATGAATGAGTCAGTGCTTTAGAGTGACACCCATTAATATGCACAGACACTTTGTTTCATCAATAAAAAGCCAAAGAACTTAAGTGACTACAAGCAGAAACAGCTTTTGTTATGCATAGGCATAAGTTTGAAATTCTCTGCTAGTTGTGCAGTCCTGGAAAAGGCTACTTTTAAATAAAATTACAGGGGGAAAAAATCTACATAAGTACATTGTGCACTTGAAGCAGAACCATCTGCATATTTTATGCCCATGAAATGTTTTCTGGTAGAATCCTCATCTTTGCCAGGCTGAGGGACACTTGCCCAGCACTTCACTGAGTGATGCAGAGCACGAGGAGGAGCAAAGGAAAATATTTTCTGCTGTATTGGGTGAGAAGAACAAGAAGAGATCTGCTAAAATAAAAGTTCAAGAGGGGCATCTCCTACTCCATTCCCCAGCTTTGAGGTGGGAGATCCCCATCAGCTCCACAACTTCACATCTTTTAGGCTTTATTACTATACAGAAGAGCAATATTTTATGGGGAGAAAGCAGCAGACACTATAAATTTCACTGAAAAAGGAGTATTTTAACATTTAGAGGGGTTGGAACTAGATGGTCTATCAGGTCCCTTCCAACCCAAACCATTTTATTTCCAGTGGTGGGGCTGGGATTCAGGTTTTTGTGGTTTCTTTCCTCAGTTCCTCAAAATCCTGTGATCTTTTGCAAGAAAACTGAAATGAACTTCCCACTAATCACACAGCAGAACACAAATTCTTCAGTTTTTCCCTCAGAATTTTCATATGGTTCTTCTCTTCCAGATTTTCAGTGACCAGGCTGCAGTTTCCAGCTCTGGAAGTTTGTGACTCCTCACAAACCTCCAGGACACAGAAAAACAGCCCCGGGCTCCAAGACCAGCCTGGCAGGAGCAAGAAGAAAACCTCTCCAGGAGCAGAAGAAAAGAGTAATCAAATGCAACGATCTGGGAGACAAGTGTGACAAAACTAGAAACAAAAGGACAAAAGAATGAATAAGGCTGAAAAGAGAAGGAAATATTCTCTGCATTTGAGGAATACTGAAACAGGTTTGAAAGGGGGAACAGACTGGAGGTCACTTCTGTATTATTCATCAAGGACAACCCCATTTATTAATCTTCTGAAACAATACAAAGATTAATTTCCCCTCTCTGCAGCCATTCCAAAGCCCCAGTGAAAGAGTTTTCCTCGGTGTTTGTTGCAGTAACAGGAATAAAAGATCAGCCCCAGATTATTCCTGTGTACAGCCAGACCTTTAGTCAAAGTTACAAAGCTCCCACAAGGAACAGATTTGACCTTTTGGCTCCCACACAATAAAAAAACTTCAGTAATATCTACACAAACCTGGCTGCCTGCAGTAAATAATGCTGAGGAAACCAGACAGAATGAACCCACTGCAAATCTCTGCTGCTCAAAATATCAAGAACACGATCAAGGTGAGAACAGGCACAGGAAACTGAGTGTATTTAACTGAAGCTGGTGGGGGTTAGGAGAGGGAAAAGATGATTTTCCATGAGTTAAAAAAGCCAAGTTTGCCCCTGGACACAGCACCCACTCGTTCTGTGACACTGCAAAAATCACCTGCCAGGTTTTTGTCCCCCCTGAGACATGAGGGGATGACTTGCCTCCTCCTACTCCAGCAAAATCAGCTGAATTATCTACAAATTAATATATATACAGCTGAAATACTCACTGCTGGAGCTTCCAGGAGTACTGAACTGGGAAGTCTCAAGGAATTTCCGAGGTGTAGATAAATTAGTGACATCCATCAGAGGCACAGGAGAGGCATCTTTCACAAGGGACCTGCATGAGGGAAAAAAATTCAAGCAAACAGATTATTATTTACAATATTTATTCACAACAAATAATCCACTTACTCCTTACATTTTAAGCCTAAGAAACAGCTTACGACTAATACATGTTCCCATTTCCATGCCTTCTGTCAACTTTTGAATCCTCTAAACTTCTTTATTCCCACCAGAAACCTCCATCGTTTTTTCCTGCCCTTCATATTCCTGTTTTGAGCCCACCCATGTACATCACTGCCCAAATGAACCTCCTTACTCAAAAATTAAAACATTTTAAAAATTCACATTGTATTAGTTGCCAAAAATGTGTCACACTGATTCAGCTGCTGGATGTGGCAGGGGGACACAAGCAAGAAATCATTTTTAGGAGAAAGAAATCTCCTACAGTGGAGCTCAGGATGTTTGCTTAGAGGTCAAAATGCTCATGGAAATGTGAAAAAACAAGGGTTAAGCTTGGTATCCTGCAGAAGAAGCACCCAAAGCAAAAAGCCACCCTTGCTGCAAGAGTTCCTGTTAGCAAATATCCACAATGGGCATCAGGGGAAGTGAAATAAAGAGAATCCAGAGTGAGATGAAGCCACAAAAATGAAGTTAATTAGCAGTCCCCCAGTCTGGGTAGACCAAAGCTTTGTGGCTGTTTTAAATTAAGATGATGAGTAAGGAAGAGACTGATTTGCTAGCAACCCTCCTTCCTAGAAATTTCAATTTCAACCAATCCTTTCCTCCATAAATTCATTTAATGCAACTGGCTATCGTGCATTTATACTTTTCTTATTATACTTTTGGCAAGTAGATTTTTATTCATTCTCACAATAAAATGCTCATTTATCTGTTCTCTGCATCTCTATCAAGTGCTGGCTCACCTTTTGCTCCCCACCTCTCCTACTCTGCAAAAATTACCTCCCAACATTGTCTCTCTCTTTTCCAGCCACTTTCTATCTTCCTTCCCTGCAGCAACTCAGAATTAGCAAAATCAGGAAAAAATAGCCTGTATTAACTAAATTTCGACTGACCACAGGCACCAACCAGGTAAAAAGTTTCAACACCTTTGAAACACCTTGGAAACACATCAAAACCAACACATTTCAGCTCAGACACTTAAGTATTGTGGCCTCCATCTCATCACCTTATGGTGAGGTGGGAGGCTTTGAAAACTTGGATATTTCTTAGAAAATGAGCAGTCTCTCCCTGACCTGAGCCTCATGACCATGACATTTGTAGGAGAGGGATAAAATCAGGGAAGGGAGAGAATGCACAAAGGAGCTGTGGGAAGCAGCACAACCCCAAGAGAAGCACTGAGAAAAGCAAAAGAATACGAATGGGCTTGGAGGTGCATCAACAAATCTGAATTTTCTGCTCTCCACAGCCACAATGCTGAGGGATTTGCACGTGTCTTAGCTTGGAAATGGGAGTGTATGTTCAATTCCCATGTGCCAGAGGTGGGGCAGTTCTCTGCTGTCCATGGGGCAGTTTTTTCTTTATCTCTCCCACAGCCCATCCTCCCTCCAGGAGATCTCTGCTGCCATGGCCACTGAGTGTCCCTGCATGGCTGAGAAAATTCCATCATCCATGGGGAGATGCTCTGCCCAGGGGAGGAGCCAAGCATTCCTACCTGGATCCAAT